CCTTTAGGATCTAAAAAATTTATCCTTTTTCCATTCCTGTATACATCTGCGGTTATCCCTTGACACTATTATTTATGCTCCTCGTTTCTTATGTGTATCTATATTAATAACCTGTCATTCTCCTATTTATTCCGCTGTGACATTTACCGTACTGGCAATGCATGTCGTTACCTACAAGATGACCCTAGAGTTTTATGCACGATTGGTTGAGAGTTAACAATTCATTCTACAAAGTTACTTCACACTTGTCACACACAAACGAAATTCTACAATCCCAAGTTAGACAAATTTTAAAACAACTGGATATACCTGCCTATTACTTGTGCAACAGGGGACTAATTAACTAGGACCTTCTATTACACTTATTTTATCTTTACAGTTTGTAGGTTACAAATTATAATTTCATCCACTCCCTAGTTACTCCTTACACATGATAAAATCCAATTCAATAAATACCTCACAACCGATTACCTGTCTTGACAAACATCAAGAGTAGAATTTCACAATTTCATAGTCTACAAGTAATCAAGTAAGTAAAACAGAATGCATCATATTCCAAATTACATTGTAGAAGGGTCTTCGTAAAATCACAAAAATTTCATCACAGACAGAATTCAATTAATGTTCTCATTTTCTAAAGATCTTAGTCACAGAATTCAAATTGGTTGATACCAATTTTCAAACAAACGAAGTCTTCATAAAATCACAAAACTTCTATCCTACTTTACAGACATATCATGTTAAGTGGTACCCCTCATACAGCTCGTCAAAACACTCATATGAGGAAACTTCCTCGAGCTTTCTGCTGTCCTAGGTACCTTAGATGTAATTGACTCCACTGATCAGAGGATCTATTAACCATGATATGACTTTCCAATTATCGACACATTTTACAATTTTGAAATGGCTATCCAACATAATCCACTAACAGAGACCACACTGTCATAATTCAAGTTCACAAAAGCCACATCCAATTCCGAGTTGCAATTAAATTTCCCTCAATAATGACAAGTCACAAGTACGGCACAAACCCCATGCAGAAAAGCACCAAATCCAAAGTCCACTTAAACCGAAAACTAATCTCATCCATACAAGCAACAATACATCCATCCGATGAGAACATTTAAAAAAAAATAATAATAATATTTCGTGTTGTATTTAAACAATTTCAAAATGAATATCAAACTTTTAACATGGGGTTTACAGCAGCATATTTAATTCACAGGTTGAATATTGTTTCGATTAAACAGCAATTAATCAAAATCAGGATGCTTAAGTTAAATTCAACTCTTACATTATGCACTCAGTTTTTTTTTTTTTTATATGCGGTGTTCATGGAACCATGGAGGTATAACAAAATTTCTAAGTGGTACTAGCTCGAATGGCTTATACAAATATGATTAACAGTTCCTAACAAACATGTGCAGAAAGTAGGGATGGTTCATATTAATTTATATCTAGGATTTGAATACGCATGCAATCAGATCAAGAGAATGGTTGATCCTAGAATTTAACATAGAGTAGAAAATTATAACCCACTGTTTCTCAGTTAATAATTCAATCAAATCATAAGGTGAATAGATGCAGTTTAAGGGTCGGTATTTTTATAATCCAAAAATATAGTTTTCTTTTGGAATTAGATACTGTGCAACCTGGCGAGAACATAATAACAATACTCCATCAATTCGGCTATGGCACAAACAAAGGTATTAGTCAAGAAAGTCAAACCACTCATATGTCAGGTGCAAGGTTTTTAAGCAACCAAAATTTTCTTTCAATTCACTTAACCAACCAAGGAAAATCAAATGTAATTTCAGACGCTGCTCTAACAGTATATAATCAACACAGATTAAGTCAAAGACCAAGCATAATGCACTGCTCAATAATTTTCGTTGTGGTTTACTTCAGCCAGAAAATAGAATCATGTAGTGTTAAGGAATATTTCCAGGGACCACGAGTTTGACAATTTAAATGTAAATATTCATCAGAAATAGTGAACTGATTTGACCAAATTAATATTATAGTATTCATAAAATAAACCAACTTAAAGTCCGGTGTGCCAGCAGACATCAAACCTCCGAACCCACAATTTAATGCAACTAACAGATATGAGTTTCTATCAGTCAAAGCTTATAAACATTCAAAGTCCAATATGACTATTCGATCTAGTTGTATTATTGGTGCAGATTATCCATGCCCATGCACGATCAACAAAATTTATAGAATCCAGTTAGAACCTCCTAATGCTTACGCGAACATTAATTTTAGCAAAGTGTCAAATAACCAACAAAATAAAACAAACCAAACAATGTGTAGCACCATGTAGTCACAATTTTCCTGTTCAGTCCACTATATTTTAATTTCAGTCCAGATAAACTTTCTTTAATTATGCATACAGTTCCAATGAAATGTTAAAAATCTAAACTGGTAAATTCAAATAATCACCACATAAAATCTGTTGTTATAATCAGAGGCAATAATTTTACATGCAAGTCTAAAAGTGGTCAAAATCACACAAGGCAATCCAACACGTACGAAGAAAAATGACAAGTATCACTCACAAGAAGGACACAGAGACAGGAGGCAAGTACCCTACCCTACACATCCCCACTTTGTTTAACAGCTTCTTTCTCAAGAATTATGTCTAGTGCCAATTCACCATTAGAAGATTTATAAAGACAACAGACCCACATGTCTAAGCCCTAATTAGTTCCAACTTCTACTTTCTAAGAGCATTAGCAGGATCCACTTTGATAAATGATCTATCCCTACATAAGTTTGTCTACATACAGTTTTCAGGTCAAATAACAAGTCCTTCGTAAGGCTTAAATAACTACATCAATTGTCATGGTTATATCACTACTACCCTTACTCAGTTATAAGACCCAACAGGATTAATGAAAAAGAATAACAGTTTCTATTACCCAGCTATACGCTACAATCACAACACACAAGAAAAGTCATAAATCAGTAAAACAAATATATAGTAGCAATCATTGTTTAAAGATAACTTATTATCATCCACTGCTCAGAATATCACAAAAATATTCACATCAAGTATAGATATATAAAACCTTCCATATATGAAATTAATATTAACCATTAATGCAAGTAGCAATTCACTATTTCAAACCTAGCGCTCAGACACAAGTGTACCCCATGATAACCATGATTGTGCACACACAACTTGCACGACAGTGAGTTGATCAGGCTCACCACCTAGCAAGGGAATGGGCACAGCCATGCTTAATACGGTGTACTACCAGTATCATCACACCTCAAATATAGGACAATTTTAACCAGTAACTCATTCACAGCTAAGTTCAAACTACAACCATGCAACGAACATATACAAATAATCAATAAATTCAAACATTGACCATTCAGCAATCAAGTACAAACATCAAATATTCATCAAATACAAACACCTTGAATCAAAACTGCTCTGATACCAATTAGTGTGACACCCTCCCATGTACGCGTCCAAGGGAGTTGTCTGCTAAGCGGATTAGAGTCGAATTGTTAAATAGTAAAATTTCTTGTTCAGTAAAAAACGTTTTCATTATACCAATTAGAAAAGCTTACTTAGAAGACTGACTTTGAGAAATAAAACAGCAAGTAAAATTTCAAAAGGCTTTCGCTGCGCCACTTTGATTTTCCTGAAGACAGCCTGTCTTGAAAATATCATGAAAAATACGAAAACAAAAATTTACAAATATTTTCTTTGCAACGAAAAAACTAGACATTGAGGGCTTCGCGTACATATAAATTATACGTGAATCGGAGGAGAATAGCCCCACGAGACTGAACTCGCAAAGTACTCAAAAATCCAGTGTGTTTTTCTAAAAACCTCCTGACTTGTAAAAATCATAATAATTCGATTTTTCAAAATCTCATTGTAAGGTTTACATAATATGAAAGTACACAACTGGGGCTTCGCATGCATATAAAGTAAGCCTCATTCGGAGGCCTGTAGCCCAAGAACGACAACTCGCAAAATGCTCGCAAAAACAATTCAAAAACTCCGAATTTAAATACAACAGAAATCGTTTGACACTTTAATTTTCAGAATCACCTAAGTTCAGACGTTATAATAAATATCATGTCACAACTCATTTGAAGATAGAATACACATAATAAAATGCCATCCTTAGAAGGCTACATTCAAAGCTGAATATACATTATACTTCCAACAGAAACATCAATTAAACAGTAGGATATCCCAAACAGTAAAACTCAATCAAATCATTTCCATGAAATCACGTCAACAAATACTTCTTCACATGCTTCTAAGTCCACCTACAATTTATGAAAATTGAGCCCCCGAAGGGGTGAGAAAAATCCCAATAGTGTGGCAATAAAACCAATACAGCAACAATATTAGACTAGGTACAAAATTCAAAAACAGTCGCATCAACATTTAATTTTCCAGACAGATGCTAACATATAATCAAAGTGCGTATATAACGCCAAGATACTAATCAAGATGCGTATATAACGCCAAAGGGTACGTTTATAGCACCGTCGTGCACGTACCAACAAGCACAGTGGAGATCCCATAGTGGCTCCTCAAGAGGGTTCCAACTGCGACCTATGCGGACTGAAGCCAATTGTCCCATACCCTGGTACCGTAGGGATGCCTATATGATGCGTGCTCAAACGTATGCTTATATTTATTATATACTTCAGTCTCCAAAATGAATGCATAATGTAGTATGCGATGACATGCTCGACACACACACAAACAGACACAGGTGAAAGTATGATGTGCATATGCATGACTAGATCATAATCATAATAGCATATTTCTCTTGTATATGTAATACCAAGCTGCCGAATAACAAATACTTCCATAAACAGAATTTTCCATCAAAACAAGTCCAAAGGCAGAAGACATATACCATATAACAGAATACTAATCAAAAGGCACATGTGAGCATCAGTTCAAAATTCCATACTCTAGCTAATAGTTACAGTAGATCTCACCACCAAACACATACCTGATACTTTAGCTTTCTAATCAAAACAGCCCCCAAGTTCGTCCAACATCCTTGAGTTTTATGGACCTAATCAAAAGTGCCAAACAGAGCTTCTTTACTTAATTTGTTTACAAGTCACAAGGTTCCATTCAGAATTTATGCTCCTAGGGTCAAGTTCATTTTCTGACCTTTAAACTAATTTTCCATGCTTTCTCTTTCAATGATTTAAATTAATTTGTCATGCTTCAAGCGTTAATTAATTTATGCCTTAGATTCAGCTTTCCTAATTGTTAACCAATGACATAATTTCCAAGTCTAATACACATACAGATTCGGTCGCCTTCATCCCAAGGTGCTTACACTTTATTTTAACAAAACTCTAATTCGATCATTTAGTCCCTTTTTAATTAAATTACACATGCTGTCTATACAAGCTTTAAATGCATACAAGTTCTAAATCCAAGTCGGTTTCCATGTTCATCTACTACATCAATTTTCTGACAGAATTTATTTTACAATTACATAGCATGTGACTTAATTCCAATGTTACTTGCGCATACAGCATCTATTTTTAAGACTATCATCTAAAAGTTCCATTTTATTTATTTTATTTTATTTAACAAAACAGTGCCTATGTTACTTAGGCATGATCCAATTACCTTTCAGCATGCTATTTACATACTTCTACACACATTCAAGTCCTATTAACATTTTCATATTCAAGAAGCTACTCAACAAAAATTTCAGAGAGTCATTTCCAACCTCATAAATCGGTTTTGTGTGTTTGCAAGCACCAAGTGCCTATACATTTCTACGAAACAGAAGACAAAGGACAGAATGACAAAGAGACATTTTCTATAGGGCTGAACTTAAAGACCGAATTAGAGGGGGAAGGTAAAAGAGCAAGGTTTTCGATTTATACCTCTGATGTGTGCCCAATCTGTTCTAAAACCTGCCAACGAGTACCATCCAAGAGGAGGCAGCTCCCTCACATCCTAATTATCCATGGAATCAAACAGAAAAACCAAATGAAGAACAACTCACTCCAACTCTCATCACCGAACTCAGAAAACACCCAAGATGGGGAGGCTCCATCAACACCGTGAAGGACCGAGAAGAAGCACGAAGTCAGGGAACGCATCTCATTCCCTTGATGCTAACGGTTCAGCCAACTAAAGAAAGGAAGGAGAGACGGTGTCCTTAGAGGTTTTGGGCTTGCATGTCCCCAATCTTGTTGAAGCGGTACGCAAAAGGGTAGGAGCTCAATTAAGGAAGATATGTGCATGCCGTAGACTGACCACTCAATCAGAACCAGTTCAGTGATAAAGAGCAAGGAGGCAACAAAATTTTCTTCACCTCCTTAAGATCAACCTTCGGCCGAGCAAGAGAGTGAGGTGGAGTAATAGCTCATGTGCAATTTTCCTTGATGGCTGCATTCGGCCAGCCAGTGAAAAGGGAGGCTGGAGGTTTGTATGGTGATTCAACTCTTGGCTATTTCTTTGTGGGGGAAATAGGCGGATGAGAAGAAGTGGGTACATGTTACGTTTAGGTGTCAATCTTGTGTTACTTACGGTTGAGAGAGAAAAGGCTGAGTGTGGTTCTTGGTTTGGAAAGTAATCAGCTTGATTGTCTTCCCTAATGCGCATGACAAGGGAAAGATAAGGGTGGATACCGATTTGGACGTGTGTCCCTACCTGGCCAATGGAACTCATCCATGCAGATTTCACTTTGATCTTTAATGGATTGGATAAATGCTTGAGGATAAGAGATTTTGGGCTGATGAATATTTCCACCCAAAGTAATTGGGCCGTAACCTATAGGGCTAGACGGGTTCCACATTAACTTTCTATTAATTTACTTCTCTCATGTAACCCACTAGTAACTACTATTTCTTGTGACCACTAGGTATTCCCTAAAATTCCTTGCATGTTGTTCATAAAATTTACCCTATCTCATACTTACATGTAGTTTAATTTCATGACATAGATCCACCTTCCTAATTTTACTTTAAAAGTTCTCCTAGCAATTATCGTTTCATATTCCCATTAGTTAGTGATTAGGCCCCTACTTATAATGTAATTAAATGCAATATTATCCCTTTTAAATTAGTATCTTGAATCTTTTAAAATCCACACATACTCACTTATATCATCAACACAAAATAATTTTCCTACTTAAATTAATTCCACTCTATACATGAATTTAATTCGAATTTTAAACATGCTTCACCCTCTTAAGCATAATTTATGTGAGTCCCTAATTATGCGGGATGTTACAAATATTCAGTACACAACCAACAGAAACAGCGAACAAACAGCAGGGTCTCCAAACAGCAGAACTTAAACAGAATATTTCCAAGGACATACTCCATCATATACTTCTTCGTCCTCCTGCAATTTTATAAAATTGAACCCTAAAAAGGGGTGAGAAAATCCCAGTAGTGTGGCAGAAAATCCAGTAATGCAACAATGTTACTTTAGATACAGAATTTCTAAAATGCTACTTCGTCAAAATTTCCGAACGGAGGCTAAAATGCAATAAAATGCGTATCTAACACCAGAATATTGTATGTTCATAGCACTATGGTGCACATACTAGCTAAACTCAATGGAGATTCTATTTGGCCCTAACAAAGGGGAATTCCAATTGAGGCCTATGCGAACTGAGCCACGGTTCCTTCTCCCTGGTACCTGAGGGATGCCTACATGATGAATGCTCAACCATATGCTTCCTTTCAAAATTTTCGTTTTTCCAAACAGCATGTATAAGGATGCTTGTTATGCTATGCTTTGCTTCGCACGCACATGACAAAATGCGGATTTATGGTGCATATGAGCATGACAAAAATCAGAATCAGAAAGCCATAGTTTTCATGGATTATGGCACCAAAATTTCGACATAATATGTCTCCAAAATAGAATTGCAACAAGTCATTTCCAAGATCATATTACACATGTTTACCAACAGAATTTCATGGAGACAAGCGAGCATCAAATCAAAAATTCACGGCCTAAATTAACAGTCACAAAAGGTCAATCCACCGAACACTTCCCTTGATGCTTACAAATTTTTAACCAAATGTAACACCAATTCAATCCGCTCTCTTAGAGGTTTGCGTACCTATACAAATATATAACAAGTCAGAATTTTATTTTATGCCATCCTATACATTACATGAAAATTTCCATGCTTCCAATCCTTGTACTTTAATCGAATTATCATGCTTCCAATGCTAATTAGTTTTCTGCCTTAAATTTTATTCTACCAATTGCTAGCAAGTGACAGAATCCCAAGGTTGCCTACACAAGCAGGTTCGGTTTTAATCATTAACTAGGTGCTTAGGATTTTTATTTACATGACCTTCTCTGCAAAGCTTAGGAGTGCACGAAAGAGGCCTTTAAACATGTTGTCTTCATCGTTTTTCCTACATGCAAGGCTGAATAATTTTTCTAGTCCAAGGAAGTGGATGGAACTGGTTTCAAGTTATGGTATACAAGTACGAACAAGAGTCGAAATGGTGTTGGAATTATGATCGATAAAAGTTTCAGAGATAAAGTTGTGGACGTCAAAAGGAAAGGCGACAGGATTATTCTGGTTAAGCTTGTTGTGGGTGACTTAATCCTGAATATCATCAGTGTGTATGCACCCCAAATTGGATTGCAACCAACTGATAAAAGCCAATTTTGGGAAGACTTGGAGGAGGTTTTGAGGGGAATACCTCGAGAGGAGAAGATTTTCGTAAGAGGAGATCTAAATGGTCATGTTGTTAAAAGCAATGGAGGTTTTGATAGAATCCATGGAGGTTTTGGCTACGGGACGAGAAACGAGACTGGAGAAGATATCTTGAATGTTGCACTAGCCTACGATTTGATGTTAGTGAACACCTTTTTTCAAAAAAGGGAGTCACACCTAATCACTTATCATAGTGGCCATAATCGTAGTCAGATTGATTTCTTTCTGGCTAGAAGAGAAGATAGAACTTCCTGTGTCGAATGTAAGGTCTACCCTGGAGAGTGTGTCGCTACGCAACATAAGCTGGTAGTCTTGGATGTTCGGTTCAACAAAGTACGTTCAATGAAGAATAGGGCTCAGAATCCAAGGATAAGGTGGTGGAAGCTTAAGGAGGCAAAAGGGAGAGAGTTCAATGATAAAATGTTGCATGAAGGATCTTGGGAGTTTGATGGAGGAGTAAATGCAATATAGAATGAGATGGCTAAGCGTATTCAAAATTTGGGAAGGAGGGTGTTGGGAGAAAGCAAAGGAAATGGATTTCATACAAAGGAAACATGGTGGTGGAATGGAGAGGTGCAAGAGGCAATTAAACATAAGAAGGAGTGCTTTAGATCTTTGCATAAAAGTCCCAGTGAAGAGAACCTGCAAAAGTTTAGATTGGCGAGAAAAAATGCAAAGAAAGCAGTGCGAGAAGCTAGAGGCAAGGTTTTCGACGAGTTGTATAAAAATCTTGGGAGCAAGGATGGTGAAAGAGGTATTTATAAACTTGCAAAGATAAGGGATAAGAAAAGTAAAGACCTCACCCAAGTTAGATGCATCAAGGATAAAAATCAAAAACTTCTGGTGAGAGATGAAGATGTAAATGAAAGATGGTTGAAATACTTCAACAAGCTGTTTAATGGGGACGGAGATACAAGCGAGGTGGACTTAGAGGACGCGTAGGATGATATGAATAGAAGATTTGTACGCAGAATTAATACACATGAAGTTAAGGAGGCTTTAAAGAGGATGAAGACTAATAAAGCCTTGGGGCCTGATGATGTCCCTATTGAAGTGTGGAGAGGCCTGGGGGATGTGGCAATAAAATGGTTGACCAATCTTTTTAATAAGATTCTCCAGACGAATAAGATGCCTGATGCATGGAGGAAAAATATGATTGTGCCTATCTACAAAAACAAGGGAGATATACAGAATTGTTCAAACTATAGAGGCATTAAGCTAATGAGCCATACTATGAAGTTGTGGGAGAGGGTTATTAAGCATCTCTTGAGGAGAGATACCAAGGTTTCTGTAAATCAATTTGGATTTATGCCAGGAAGATGTACCATGGAAGCCATTTTCTTGATGCGACAACTAATGGAAAGATACTGAGAAAAGAAGAAGGACTTGCATATGGTGTTCATAGACCTTGAGAAACATACGATAGGGTTCCAAGGAAAGTTTTATGGTGGGTTCTGGAGAAGAAAAAGGTTCCATTAAAGTATGTAAAGGCAATTAAGGATATGTATGATGAGGCTACTACATGTGTAAAAGCTTGTAACGGATCATCAAGTTATTTTCCTATCACGGTAGGTGTACACCAAGGGTCGGCTCTAAGTCCTTACCTCTTTGCCTTAGTTATGGATGAACTAACAAAAGATATTCAAGAGGAAGTGCCATGGTGTATGCTTTTTGCAGACGATATTGTGCTTATGGATGAACTAAAAAACTTGAACTGTGGAGAAACACATTGGAATCCAAAGGATTCACATTAAGTCGAAGCAAGACTGAGTATCTGAAGTGTGAGTTTTCTCTGGTACGAGATGGGGACCAAGAGCCTGTGCATCTAAATGGTCAAGAGGTACCCAAAAAAGATGTTTTTAAATACTTAGGCTCCATTTTACAAAAAGGTGGAGAGATTGATGAGGATGTAAATCACAGAATCAGAGCAGGGTGGATGAAATGGCGCAGTGCATCTGCATTTTTGTGTGACCGCAAAATCCCCCTGAAGTTAAAAGGAAAATTCTATAAAACGGCAGTAAGACCGGCAATGCTATATGGAGCGGAATGTTGGCCAACACATAGGCAACATGAGCATAAGATGGGAGTAGCAGAGATGAGGATGTTAAGGTGGATGTGTGGTTACACAAGGATGGATAAGATAAGAAATGAAGATATTCGACGAAAGGTCGGAGTAGTACCGGTAGCCGAGAAGATGAGAGAACATAGATTGAGGTGGTTTGGGCACGTGATGAGAAGACCCATGGATGCTCCTGTAAGAACAGAAGTTTGTTACCAAGAGCTAAACACAAAAAAGGCAGAGTTAGGCCGAAGCTTACTTGGGGGAAGGTGGTAAAACAAGATTTAATGGAGTGGGATATAGATTGACGGACAGTAAGTCTTAGAACAGAATGGAGAAAAGCTATAAGTACGGTGGAGGGTTAGACCCGTTTTGTATCTTTCATGTAGGTTCATCTACCACCGACCCCAATTAATTTGGGATAAAGGTGTTGTTGATGTTGATGTTGATGTTGAAGGAACAGTCCAAAGGATCATGAGGAGCTATTCTCCAAGCTCCTAAAAATCGGTTTTGGCTTGCATGCACCAAATCCATGAGTTGTACGGCTGAACAGAAATAAGGGAAGAGGAAACAAAAAAAAATTACATCCTCCTTACATGCATGTGAGGCCGAAACAGTGAGGAAAAGAACAATCGGTCAAGTGGGTAGCCACCAAGGTTTGCGCTAGAATCCTCACACCCCTACTCTCCAAGAATCAAGTTTTCAGCTGTATGCAAAGGGGGAAAAACTCTTGTAAAACCGAAAGGAGCATGAGGAAACAAGGAAATAGAGGCAATACATTACCTCCTTGAATATTGATGCTCGGACAAACAAGGAAGGAGAGGAAGGGAACGTAAACTTTGGTGATGAGGCTCTCCTCTTAAGCTTACGGTTTTGAGGTGGGTGAGAGGCTGAGTTAGGTTCTGCTTCAAGAGGATAAGTATTCAGCTTTGAAGTTCCACACTTAAGCGCATAGAGAGAGAAGGGAATAAGGTGAAGGCTGCTAGGATTCTGAATAAATGACACAAAACAGATTGGCTTTCCTCTCATTGGTTGCATGGGGTGGCAAGGCTGACTTAAACTTTGGACACCATAGCAAGCAATCAGCTTGCTTTTTCTCTATACAATGCGCATGTGATGGAGGGATAAGGATTGACATGTGGTTTGATCATTGGCCAATAACAAGCTAACATGCAAATTTTGTTTTAGATAGGCTAAAGGGTCATGAGTAAGAAGGTTCTTGGGCTGATTAAAAGTCCTCTAAGAGGCACTTGGGTCGTCGCCCATAAGGATCATAGGGTCCAAGAATTAGCTTCCTAAAGGATCACCTATCTCATGTAATATACTACTAACTATTATTTCATGCACCCACTTGGCAGTAACTAGGGTTTCTACATACATTGTAATTAAAATTAATCCTATCCTTTTTAACTAGTGTTCGAATTCTGAAAAATATATGCTCATTCCTAATTGCATGTAAAATGAATTTTCTAATTTACGCGGGATGTTACAATATATATAAATATGAACATATAAATTCAATTATATTCTCCATATCTAAAATGAATTAAACAAGGTTCATTAAATAAGTTCAAAAACATGAAGCATAAATAAATAAATATGTATTCTATTACTATATCAATTTAAATTACAACTCAAAATCCTCATAAACATACTTCTTAATGACATTGAACTCATATTTTTAAAATTCAACTACATTAAAAATGACATGTCACATTCTCTTAATTTATTATTCCGCAAATTGCTTCAGTATTGGAAACTGAAATTTGATGTCATTGTAGAAGAGTATACTAGCAAATAAAATTACAAAAAAAAATTAAAATGAGTTATACATTTTTTTTTACAAGATGAAACAATTTTGCTTTTTTAATTTTATTTTTTTTAATATATGACCCGACCGGGTCATTAGGTCACCAGATCACTGGTTTTGACCGGGTTTGGTCGGATTTGTCCGGGTTTTGACCAAGTTTGACCGAGTCGATGCATGACCAGTCCAAAACTTGACCCGAACCGGTTCGATGACCGGTTCGTCGGGTTCCAGGTCGACCCGACCGGGTCGGGTCGAGTTTTACAACTATGATTAGGGGTGTTCGCAGTCCAGATTGAATCAGTTTTGGAAGCAAAAATCATCTGATTCAATTCCTTCGATTTGATCATGTAATCATCCATTCAGTTTGAATTTTTTTTCAAATCTGATCCAATCCAATCTAATTTTTTCAATTTGAATTAGATTGACTTTTGATTAATTTGTTTGATGATTGTTCTGCAAATGTATGTATTGATCAATGTTAATCACTACTATAGAGCTTTGTAAAGTTTTTTTTTTTAAATACAGAAGCATCAGTAAACGATAATCTAATTTTTTTTTGGACAATAAGATATGAAGTTCTATACAGACGAAATTTTGTTGGGGTGTGGCTAAATTTTTTCTTGAGTTTAGATGATGGATTAATGAGTGTTGGGTTTAGAATTTTTTGGACTATAATTGAAAAAAGAGCCAAGTAAGTAGAAAAAAAATTAATATATTGAATTGATTTGTATTAGATCAATTTTCACCAATCAAACCGAAAACTAATCCAATCCAATTAAAATTTGCGATTTTTTTTTGGTTTTTGATTTTCAATTTTCGATTAATTCAATTTTTCGATTTGATCACATTTAAATCGATTTGGATTGGGTGATAAACACCACTACTTAACATGCTCATCCTTTTGGAGTGCCAAGTCTATGCTTTGTTATTCAGAATGCAAACTCAACATCTTGCTTCCATTTCTTGAAGTTTGATCCGAACAGAACTTCCATGGTGGCATTATTATTCAGAGCAAAAGAAAATGTTCACAAACAGAAAGAAACGCAACTTGTTAAATACAATACCTTGATCCACAAATAGCTTATTAGTAAAATAAGCCATATTAGGAGCATAACACATATACTATATACTCTCCCTTGGGCAAAGTTTGTAATATGTACATGGGACATACAATGTCAATAGAGATAATACATTAATCTTAAAAGAATTAAAAAAAATTCCCTAATGGGCATATGAATTTTCTGAGCAAATACATCCCCCATGGACAGATTGAATTACAATAATATTTGGCAAACTCATAATGAGGTTGGAAATTGCAAAGAAACATTGGGAAAAAACAATGTATTGATTAACAAAGTAAAACCAAACAAATAAAATGAATTACAATTTGGGTTTTTTCATAACCCTAGGTTTAAAGCTAATTCAAATGCAAAATCTTTTCTATATAGGGTACGAATATATGCAATTTTGGTGTCAATCAAACATTTGTAAATGGATCTATAAAGGCCCTAATTGGTTTTAATTTCTTTAACAAAAAAAATTGATTTTAAAAATTACATATTCAAGAACAAAAGGTAACAAAATCAATCCCAAAAGATGTAAGTATGTCCAATAATAAGCAATTTGATCCTAAATTATATAATCAACTCTCTGATACCACTTGTTGAAACTATTTCACAAGTAAATCCACAAATTATATGAATTATAGAATATCAATTGATCAATGATAGTGTTGGCCATGAGTGAATGAATGAACAAGACAGCATGACAATCTAAGTAAGGTCTTCCTTTCACTACTTTTTAGATGGGACAAGCTCAAGATGATAAAGCCTAAAGGGTTTGTTAAACCTAATAATAGGGCATCCATAAATATATATTGAAATAGTGACGGGGTATTTAACTGCAGATATGACTATTTACCTAATAACCATTCTATTACAGGCTATTAAGTAATGACATATACTCTACAAACACTTTATCAACAAATAACTAATGTGCACATCCCAAATAATCAAGTCAATAACATTTAATAATTGAATTGCTTGATTGTCTTTTAGAAATTAATTGACGGCAAGTTTTGCTTTTGGTGCAGCCAGCTAGTGAAGAAAAAAACGGTGTACAAGGATATAAACCACAATGTGCCAAAGATTTTGGAGGTGGAGATAAGCCCAGGAAGGTTAAAGCATAGATAGGGCCGTGCACGGAGAAAAGGGGTGGGTTCGAAAGGATTCACTTGGCACTGGCAATGATACAATGCACAAGGTAATGTATGTCCCGTGTATGTTGCAATAAAATAGCATCGCAGAAGGAAGATCGGGTTCATTAGTTCGTGAAACAATCTAATTTTGATTTGAGCTGGGATTTGAATTTTACCCGATCACACCCAATTGTTGAATCCAACCCCATTTTTCTTGATTGGTTTTTGCTAGTATCCTCGGGTCATCGGGTCAAACCAATCAAATGACTACACTTAATATTTATAATCTTAGCAGAGGTATAGTAGTCTCAGAGTTCACAAGACAATCTCCATGTTTAGGACATATATTAAAAAATAAAATAAAAAAAGGACTTTCCATGGATGACTATATGATTCAAAATCCAAAGCCTATTATAAATGCCAAGAGAAAAAATTAACCTTGTTGGGGAGATTGCAACATTTATAATTTCATCGTATTATAAATGCTGAGAGAAAAAAAAAATTGTGTAATGGAACACCAAAATAAAAAGCATCAGGAATCCAACAGATGATTAACCAAAAAGTACAAAGTCAGGTAAGAATAAAGTCCTTGGGCATCGCAAGTCAACCAAATGATTGGAAGAACCAAAATTGTTCTAAATAGCGCCAACTGCTTTTCTCCAATTTAATGATGAACTCATGCAACCCCCACATTGATAACCATACAGTTTCCCCATGATGACAAATCATGTAACGCTCACTCCTGATGAAAAAATATTAAAGACAAAATGAGGATAGCTACTTAGTTATTATTTGAAGACCTAAACTTCATATGATAAACCAATTAAGGAATTGGACTTTTAATAGACCTCATTTTAATTGGAAAAATTATTATTAACAAAAATGCTGGAAAAAAAAAAACTATCCAACCTGACACGTAAAAAATTTATAACATGAAAAAAAATAAACTAGCATATATGATATGAACAAGGAGACAACACTCAATGATCCATTACAATTACCAAATGGGCAAATCACAAGGTCAAGGGTCAAGAAGTTTAAAGAAACTCTTAGTGGGTTGATCCAGCAAATATGAGCTAATCATGAAGACATCAAGTCCAAATTTATTCATAATCAGAATTTAGTTAATGTTATCAATGCAAGGGAGGTTGAGTGGAATAATTAGCAATTTTCAATATCATTAATGTTTAGTGGGCTGATTAGAGTCTTTTCCTTTTTTCAAGTTGTCAACTTTAAATTAGTGTCTTTTCATTTGTTAGTCATTTCCTATTCTTGGAGGAATGTTCCAAGTATAAATAAGGGAGGATACAACTCTTGTAATCAGACTTTGAAATTATAATATCAATAGAGGTTTCTTCTCTTTGGTTCTTATCGAGAACTCTGAACTTATCAAAAAGCTTGTTCTTGTGGCGTTCAAACTAGACTTATCACTCACCTTCTTCTTTCTTGAGTGTGGCGTCTTTATCTTTCTTTATACCTTTGGTTCTTATCTTCCATACGTAACGGGCCAAGGTTCTTTATTTCTTGTTTAAATTCCTGATTATAGAAATGATCTTAACTAAATTGGTCTTGGATCTCACTATTCTTGGTGAGATTCATATCAATATATGACCAAATTTTTTTCAATTTCTAAATATAATCAAAATATTTCTTTTATAAAAGTGGAGGTTATAAAAGTTGAAGCAAGACTGAGTATCTGAAGTGTGAGTTTTCTCTGGCAAGAGATGTAGACCAAGATCCTGTGCATCTAAGTGGTCAAGAGGTACCCAAGAAATATGCTTTTAAAAACCTGGGCTCCATTTTGCAAAAAGGTGGAGAGATTGATGAGGATGTAAATCATAGAATCAGAGCAGGGTGGATGAAATGGCGCAATGCATCTGGGTTTTTGTGTGACCGCAAAATCTCCCTTAAGTTAAAAGGAAAATTCTATAAAACAGCAATAAGAACTACAATGCTATATGGAGCTGAATGCTGGCCAGCACATAGGCAACATGAGCATAAAATGAGAGTAGCAGAGATGAGGATGTTAAGGTGGATGTGTGGTTATACGAGGATGGATAAGATAAGAAATGAAGATATTCGACGAAAGGTAGGAGTACTACCGATGGCTGAGAAGATGAGAGAACAGAGATTGAGGTGGTTTGGGCACGTAATGAGAAGGCCCCTGGATGCTTCTGTAAGAACAGAAGTTTGTTACCAAGAGCTCAACACAATAAGAGGTAGAGGTAGACCGAAACTTACTTGGGGGAAGATAGTAAAACAAGATTTAATGGAGTGAGATATAGGATGGCGGACGATATGCCTTAGAACGGAATAGAGAAAAACTATAAACATGGTAGAGGATTAGACCTGTTGTTATTCCTATGTTCCAGATAGTCCTTTTTTAGTCCTTTTCCCCTTCATTTCCCCCTCTTCTTCTTTTCCCTTTCTTTTTTACTTTTTTATATATATATAATATTACTATTCTATTTATTTATTTTTATTTTTAATTTTATGTTTCTTTTTTCAACCTTTTTATATCTTTCATTTGGGTTCATCTATCACCAACCCCAATTAATTTGGAATAAAAGTATTGTTGATGTTGATGTTGATAAAAGTGGAGGTTATAATCAAACCGGAAGGATATGATAAAACTAGCGGCTTCTAGTGTAACTATATAATAACACCATTCAAGAAGCATCATGGGCTAGAGAATCCACCTTATATAATGCTTGAAGCCCCAGAGCAGTGAGTTCAAACCGTCATTCTACGTAGTACTTATTTTTGAAGGGTGCAATAAGCTTGCCAGAATGCTGTTGAATCTCACACCCAAGCTCAACCTCCATCAAACGATGGTTTTCCTTTGAGCGACTCATTAGGAAAGAAACACTTAAATTATCACCTTCACTCACATGGGTAGAAGGATGCAAGAGGAAAACCTGTCCAAGATTAAAATATATGATTAGACTAACATTATCATACAGTTGAATGAAGGTCAAAGGCCCTAGGTTAGGACTCAAACAGATAAATTGCCACATAGAAAGAATAAACGCCCCACATAGAAAGTATGGATGTTAAGCCTCTGCCTCTGTCTCTCTTTCTCCATAAAAATTCTAGGTTATATTTTAATAATAGAACAACCAATTTGAGGAACTTAAAACAAGGACCATCTGCTACTTCAATGATGTTCTAACTGTTCTCGAAGTAATGAATCTAGATTAAACAAAATGATACTAACAATTTATTTCGTGGACAAATCAACCACCAACAAATTTATGCAGCAGCACAAACCTGTTGGCCCCAGTGCGTATTGTAATCTACGCTGGGAGCTGTAGTTAACTCAATCTCATGTTCAGCTGGATCCTCGCTTCTACCCTGGTGAGCAAAAATAGGAAACAATGAGATTTATGATATTTGATAGCTATAATGCCATTAAAAGGTCAGAGTAGCTTACCCTAAAATGTACATCAAACCACCCTGCAAATCCACACAACTTTGTGTTTTCGATGGTTATTGATAAAGAAAACTTTGATCTGACTTTCTCTATATCAGCCACTGTGGCAGTCAAACAATCAATTTCCTTTATTATTGCAGCAGTTCCTATGACTTGATGTGGATGAAGGTTGTTCCACAATGATGTCTGTAGAAATCACATCAAGCATAAATCAGTTTCAAGTGATAGAAAATTCAATCAACATCAACATCAACAACACCTTTATCCCAAATTAATTGGGGTCGGTGGTAGATGAACCCAAATGAAAGATACAAAAAAGTTGAAAAAAAAGAAACATAAAAGTAAAAATAAAAATAAATAAATAGAATAGTAATAATATATATATATATATATATATATATATAAAAGTAAAAAAGAAAGGGAAAAGAAGAAGAGGGGGAAATGAAGGGCAAAAGGACTAAAAAGGGACCATCTGGAACATAAGAATAACGGGTCTAACCCTCCACCATGCTTACAGCTTTTCTCCATTCCGTTCTAAGGCATACCGTCCGCCAATCTATATCCCACTCCATTAAATCTTGTTTTACTACATTTCCCCAAGTAAGTTTCGGTCTACCTCTACCTCTTATTGTATTGAGCTCTTGGTAACAAACTTCTGTTCTTACAGAAGCATCCAGGGGCCTTCTCATTATGTTCCCAAACCACCTCAATCTCTGTTCTCTCATCTTCTCAGCCACCGGTAGTACTCCTACCTTTCGTTGAATATCTTCATTTCTTATCTTATTCATCCTCGTATAACCACACATCCACCTTAACATCCTCATTTCTGCTACTCCCATTTTATGCTCATGTTGCCTATGTGCTGGTCAGCATTCAGCTCCATATAGCATTGCAGGTTTTACTACTGTTTTATAGAATTTTCTTTTTAACTTTAGGGGGATTTTGTGGTCACACAAAAACCCAGATGCACTGCGCCATTTCATCCACCCTGCTCTGATTCTATGATTTACATCCTCATCAATCTCTCCACCTTTTTGCAAAATGGAGCCCAGGTATTTAAAAGCATCTTTCTTGGGTACCTCTTGACCACTTAGATGCACATGATCTTGGTCTACATCTCTTGCCAGAGAAAACTCACACTTCAGATACTCAGTCTTGCTTCGACTTAATGTGAATCCTTTAGATTCCAATGTGCTTCTCCACAATTCAAGTTTTCTATTAACACCATCCTTGCTCTCATCAATAAGCACAATATCGTATGCAAAAAGCATACACCATGGCACTTCCTCTTGAATATCTTTTGTTAGTTCATCCATAACTAAGGCAAAGAGATAAGGACTTAGAGCCGACCCTTGGTGTACACCTACCGTGATAGGGAAATAACTTGATGTTCCATTACAAACTTTCACACATGTAGTAGCCCCATCATACATATCCTTGATTGCCTTTACATACTTTGATGGTACCTTTTTCTTCTCCAGAACCCACCATAAAACTTTCCTTAGAACCCTATCGTATGCTTTCTCAAGGTCTATGAACACCATATGTAAGTCCTTCTTCTTTTCTCGATATCTTTCCATTAGTTGTCGCATCAAGAAAATGGCTTCCATGGTACATCTTCCTGGCATAAATCCAAATTTATCCTCTTATTTTATCTTTTGGTTCGCCCTCTAGAAGCCCGTTTGGATGTGTTGCATTCACTTATGTAAGAACCCACAAATCAAACTCATCATTTAAACACCATATATTTTAATTTTATGCAATTCCTTGAGGTGAAACAATAATCAAGGTCGTCAAACTTGTAGGTCCTACCAAGGATCAGACAAAGGAAGTAGACATAAAACATGAGATCGTAATGTGAAATGTAAGATCCTACCGAATATATACAGTTATAATCAAGAACACATGTGTACATAGAAAATAACACAAATAAGTAAAAACAACTTTAAAAGTTTTCTAACTCAATCTGTGTAACGCATTTAAGTTCGTAAGAACGTACATGCCTTCTAAATAAACAAAGTGGCAACTCAAATGACTAAACACTCAAAGGAGAATGACATTTTGAATAAAAGAAATCTAGAGAGGAACAAGAGGAAAAATGACAGACCACTAAAATAGAAGCCTTAGTCTAACAGTCAACCCAGAACAAATCATAGAGATTCATTATCAAATCACTCAATCACAGAAGCAAAAACCAGAACAAATCAGAGGCATATGGTAAGAGAAGAGCACCCAAAAACATAAACCTAATACAAATACAGCCAAAAAGATACAATGCACCCACAGTTTCACACAATCACAGGGATGCAGCATCCAGCCACCTACTTGAACAGAAGCCCAACACACACTTGCACATGGTTGCAAATCCTTCACAGCTCCCCAAAACACAATCGCACACCATCATAGTTATCAAATGCAGATTGCGATGTAGCCGACCCTGAAACGCTATAGTGGGTTGCTGGCGGAATAGTGCAACAGCCACAACTTTTCTCTCTAGCGTTGCGGAGCGGTAAGGCGCGGTGGTGGTCTGCAATCCACTACTGTAGCAGAATTGCATGCTTCTGTGCCGCAATTGATAACCGTAAAGAACCAATTCAACCCAAAAGCTTAAGCTGTTGGGTGAAGTTATATTAATGGTTTTATATAACTCTAACACTCCCCCTCACACGAGAGTCCATTGGGCTTGAAGGGTGGATGATGCATCAGACCCAATCTATCTGTACTAAGAAATTCCACAAGAGAAAGTGAGGGCGGTGAGGATCGAACCCGTGACACTGAGGCTCTGATACCATGTAAAAAATCAATTTAACCCAAAAGCTTAAGCTGTTGGATGAGGTTACATTAATGATTTTATATAACTCTAACAATAACTATGTATACCACTCACAGTTGCACTCCGTCGAAGCAGAACAAGGTGTTAAGTTTAGGATCACAAGGGAAGTACACCCCCGCACAATGTAAAGGCTGGATAAGGGTTTCTGAAATTGGATTTAAGTTTGGGTAGGTAAAGTAATTTTTTTATTACACAAGTTAGCGTTCTTGTAGGATCTTAGAATGCATGATTCCACTGCTTTCGCTCCTACCGCAATCCCAGAAAAACAAGTTCCAAGTTGGGGTTAGGATCTGATAAGACTCCTTTGAAGGTTTATTATAGGAAGCGTCATAGAGAATCACACCAAAGTGTTGACTCAGCTGAGGTGAGAGGGAATATTGCTGTGAATGTTGCCTTGCGTGGGAATTCTGTTAGTGGAAATTCTGTTATAGGAGATAAGGTGGTTGACGTGGCACGGAGCACAAGCTGATGGTTATAGAGACTTAGAAGGCATGAATAAGGGCAGGCTGGAATTTGGGAGTTCTTGGGAGAGATCAGTGCCTCTATAATTGCACTAAACCAGTCTCTTAATTAGGATCTTATATGTGGAAGTCATTGTAATTTTTCCTTCGTTTCTTTAGTTGTTGAACTGTCTGTGTAATTTTTTTTCCTAATTAATATAAATACAGAAAAATCCAGTTCTCTGGGCCAAACTACTGTTGTTGTTGCGTTAATCTCTGATAAATTTTGCCAGTCTTATCAACTGGTATCAGAGCACTCCGATCCTTGGAGTGCTTTGAATGGTTCTTACCCGGAACATGGACAATTGTTTGGAAGCAATGGAAGAGCGTCTTCGCAAAAATGACGTTGTCATGATCGTTCTTGACGGTAACGCCCTGAATTGGTTCTTCGTTTAGGAGCGCAGCAATCCAAACGCCTCTTGGGGCGATTTCCGAGCAAACGTGATGGATTGTTTCCAACTAAAAGTAACAGGAAGCCCCTATCAAGAGCTTATGGGTCTGAAACAGACAGCACTGCTGCAGCTTATAGGGCTAAGTTTGAGCGTATAATCAGCCCCCTTCACTATGCTGATGAAGCAATGGTCAAGGAGATTTGGTTGCACGGTGTCTGTGAAAGTCTTCGAACGGAATTAATGCAGAGTAACATCAACACCTTATCGGAGCTGATGAAGGAGACCATGAGGTTAGAAAGGAGAAACATGGCTTGGATGGCTGATGGGTTTGGGGTGCCATGGGCTGTAAAGGGAATTGGGTTGGGCCGTTCGAATCAGACAAGTTAAGGGACTATGAGTGGGTCACATGTCAAGCACATGCCCACTAATGCAAATCAAACGCAACTTGTTGAAATGCGAATGTCTGGAACAATATCAAATGACATGCGTTTTGGAGGAGGAGCCCCAAATCGCTTAGAGAACATGGCAGCAAATGGGGATTCTCGAATTCTAGAGGGATCTGGAAGCAATAATGTGAGGGGTAATGGAAGAAGACTCTCCCAAGCTGAGCTCCAAGATCGGATGCGAAGGGGCTTTTGCTTCAAGTGTGAGAAAAAGTGAGATCACAATCATCGGTGTCGAAACGCACAGCTACAGTTGTTGGTGATTGATGAAGAAGGCATGGAAGCAACAGAGGAGGAGGAACAAGACGAAGGCAAGCAAAGAGTAGTGGATGAACAGCAACCCGAAGAGGAAGTTCTACAACTCTTAGTCTACAGTGTCTTAGGGCTCTCTTCGAACCAAAGTATGTTGCTATGGGGGATGATTAAAGGGAAAAAGGTAACTATGTTGGTTGATAATGGAGCCATAAACAACCTCATCAATCGACAGATAGCGGAAAGGTTGGGGCTTACCGTTGAAGATACAAGCTTCAAGGTGGAATTGGGCGATGGTTATAAAATGGGGAGCCAGGGGGTTTGTCGTCAGGTGGAGCTACAAATTCAAGATTTACAAACGAGTCATGATTTGTTGTATTCGAACTATGAGGAGGAAGTTATCCTTGGGGTGGAATGGCTGAAGAGCTTAGGGGAAATTGCCGCAGATTTCAACAAGTTGACGTTGAAGTTCCAAACGCAAGGGAATGAAGTCATTTTACGAGGTGACCCGTCTCTTTCTAGCAAAAGGGCATTGGCCTCTATTCGATCCATGCTAAACACGTTACAAGTGAAGGGTCAAGGGTGTTTGCTCGAGTCCCAGTGGGTTCGAAATAGACAGACAACAAAAGACGTGAGTTGGAGGGAGCTAAACCCAATGTTAGAAGAATTTGAAGATGTATTTCAACAACCTAAAAGCTTGCCACCTCATCGTCGTCAAGATCACGCCATTGAGCTTAAACCTGGGAGTGAGGTGCCAAACATAAGACCTTACAGGTATCCCCATTACCAAAAGTCTTTAATTGAAACATTGGTATCTGAGTCGTTGAATGCAAGAATGATACGACCCTGTGCCCTTCTCAAGCCCAGTAATTCTAGTGCGAAAAAAAGACAGAAGCTAGCGAGTTTGTGTAGATTATAGAGCCCTCAATAAGCTCATAATACCAGATAAATTCCCAATCCCCATTATTGAGGAACTAATGGATGAACTGGGAGGATCTACTCTATATTCAAAGTTGGATCTCAAATCTGGATATCTCCATATCAGAATGCGCGAGGAAGACATTCCCAAAACTACATTCAGGACCCATGAGGGTCATTATGAGTATATGGTGATGCCTTTTGGGCTCACCAATGCTCCATCTACCTTCCAATCTATGATGAATGAGATATTAAAGCCTTATCTGCGCAAATTTGTCTTGGTGTTTTTTAACGACATCTTGGTCTGTAGCAGCAGCAAGACTGAGCATCTACAACACCTCAGATTAATATTGAATCTTTTACGGCAGCATCAGTTGGTGGCAAATAAAAAAAAATGTAGCTTTGGGCAAAGTCAGATTGAATACCTTGGCCACATAATTTCTAGTGATGGTGTGAAGGTAGACCCGAAGAAGATTGAAGCTATGTCTCAATGGCCAGTTCCCAAAAATTTGAAGGGGTTGAGAGGATTCTTGGGGCTAACAGGTTATTACAGGAAGTTTGTCTAAGATTATGGAAAAATAGCAAGGCCCCTAACTGATTTATTAAAGAAAGATGCTTTTCTTTGGGGTCCTGAAGCCCAATGTGCCTTCGAACAGTTAAAGGCAGCCATGTGTTCTGTCCCTGTCCTTGCACTACCCGAATTTTAATCAACCTTTCACAGTGGTCACGGACGCCTCTAGAAAAAGGGTGGGGGCTGTTCTTACACAGGGGAATCGGCCCATTAGTTTTATCAACCAGGCTTTTTCTTCAAGAGCCATGGAAAAATCCGTTTATGAAAAGGAGTTAATGGCAATTGTGTTGGCTGTCCAAAAATGGAGACCGTATCTTTTGGGCCGACATTTTATCATTAAAACTGATCAAAAAAGCCTTAAATTCCTTATGGATCAGAGGGTTTTGGGAGAAGACCAACAAAAGTGGATCTCTAAGCTCCTAGGATATGACTTTGAAATTCAATATCAACCCGGGAAAGAAAATGTGGTTGCGGATCCATTGTCCCAAAACTTGCGGTGTTTTTCCTTATCATGCGTAGATGCTACCACGTATGAGGAGTTGGAACGAGAGTTACAAGGAGATGACAAAATGAAGGGTATTATCCAAGATCTTTTAGTCAATTTGCAGGCTCATTCTGGGTTCAATCTACGTGGAGGTAGGTTGTTTTACTTTGGCAGGTTAGTCTTAGCTAAACACTCTAAATTTATTCCTCTAATGCTGCATGAATTTCATGACTCGCTTGTGGGAGGACATTCTGGTTTCTTGAGAACATTCAAAAGGGTAACAAGCTTGGTGTATTGGGAAGGAGTGTGTAGTAGTCTGCTCTATTTGTCAACAGAATAAAATTTCGACCTTATCCCCAGGGTGTGGTCGGATATATCTATGGACTTTATTGGTGGGTTACCCAAGGTCCAAGGTGTGGACACAATTCTTGTAGTAGTGGATCGCTTATCTAAATATGCCCACTTAATTGCTCTGAAGCATCCATACACGGCTAAAGAGGTTGCAGTAATTTTTATCAAAGAGGTTGTTAGGTTGCACGGGTTCCCTTCTTCCAACGTCAGTGACAGAGATAGGGTGTCCCTTAGCTCATTTTGCTCTGAGTTATTTCGTTGTAGTGGCACTAAGCTGAAGTACATAGATGCTTAGAGGATTATTTGAGATGTTTTTGTTCCCCAAAACCCAGAACCTGGCCCTCTTGGCTACATTGGGCCGAGTTCTAGTACAATACCACTTTCAAAAGCGCCACTGGAACCAGCCCTTTTAAGGCACTATATGGTTGTGATCCACCCATTCTATTCAGATCTAGCTTTGCTATTTCCCCTGTAGATGAGGTGACTACTATGCTACAAGACAGAGATTTGATTTTACAAGAATTGCAGTAGCATCTTGTGATTTCACAAAATCGCATGCAAACAAAATCTGATCATCATCAAAGGGATGTGGAATTTCAGGTAGGGGATATGGTCTACCTTAAACTTCAACCTTATAGGCTGCGTTCGTTGGCTAAAAAATTAAACAAAAAGCTTAGTTCCCGTTTGTATGGATTGGCAATGGATTTGGCCTTATGAAGTTGTTGCCCGCATTGGTGTTGTTGCTTACAAGTTAAAGTTGCCAGAAGATTGTAAGGTTCATGATGTGTTTCACGTCTCGCTTTTAAAAAAGGTAGTCTCACCCTCAGTTGTGTTACAACCATTGCCCCCCATGATAGCAGAGGATTGGGAGCTCCAAGTCCAACCAGAAGCTGTTTTACAATGGCGCAAAAATTCAGTTGGCAGAACGAAGGTTTTGATTAAATGGGTTCAATTACCATCATTTGAAAAAACTTGGGAAGATTCAGCCCAAATCCATTGCCAATTTCCTGATTTCCACCTTGAGGACAAGGTGATAGTCTTGGGGGGGGGGGGGGGGGGAGTATTGATAAGATTGAAGGTTTATTATAGGAAGCGTCATAGACAATCATACCAAAGTGCTGACTCAGCTGAGGTGAAAGGGAATATTGTTGTGAATGTTGCCTTGCGTGGGAATTCTGTTAGTGGAAATTCTGTTGTAGGAGAGAAGGTGGCTGATGTGGCAGGGAGCACAAGCTAATGGTTATATAGACTTAGAAGGCAAGAATTAGGGTAGGCTGGAATTTGGGAGTTCTTGGGAGAGATCAGTGCCTCTATAAATGCACTGAATCAGTCTCTTAATTAGGATCTTATATGTGGAAGTCATTGTAATTTTTCCTTCGTTTCTTTAGATGTTGAACTGTCTGTGTAATTGTTTTTTCCTTATTAATATAAATACAGAAAAATACAGTTCTCTGGGCCAAATTACTGTTGTTGTTGCGTTAATCTCTGTTGTTGCGTTAATCTCTGATAAATTTTGCTAGTCTTATCAAGACCATTCAAGTCTGTTGAACACATAGAATTGTGCATTTCTACGAGCTAGTACGCGATTTTGGCAACCATGATAACAATACCAAATTTAACTTTTACGCATATTTCACTAATTTTAGACAGATACAGAGACCAAATTAATTATAAGAGCTGACAGACTCCCAAACAAGATCAAATTTTATTCAACTAAAAGCATACCATTACACTTAGGGTGCACCAAGCATACAACTTGCCTGTAGATAGTATTTTCTCTGCTCCTCTGAAAAAGGCTTCGTTAAAGTGCTCATATCAACGCTATAGTAGGTCTTTGTTTCATCAACAAAGTTGTGCCAATCATCCATAGTTGATTGGTAATCACCCATTTTGTGATCTCCTATCCCAGTCCTCATAGGTGCTATCCACATACGTGCATGACTGGGATACCTGTGAAGCTAAAGTATCTTAGATCACCAATTGCAAAGGTAACACCAAAAGCCACTAAAGAATTACTCACACACAATATGGATTTTCATAGTTATCATCATAACCATCTCAGTTTCATGACAAGCGGTTATCTTCAGAGGCAATAACTAAACCATTTATACATGTAAGTTATCCCTGTTGTTAACGTACAGAAAAGACCATGGTAAGCACAACATGCCAAGTTAAATAGTTACATTCCATATTCTTTTATCTCAAGTTATAGAAAAGTTTTATATTTAGTTCATTGTGTATGGTTATAGCACTGTATTTTGTTGATTAATGGTTACTGATTTTGAGACTTCCCCTATTCTGTTGAAAACTAAAGAATATGATACACAGAACAAAACTTTCTGCATTATGTGTCGTATTGTTTTAAGCACATCAACAAAGACTTCGAGATTTAAGGTTAATTATAAAAATTAACTATTAACAACATTTTGCATATACAATATAGAAATATAACCAAATACTTAAAATACTTCAGTGCATCTCATAGCCAAATCCAAGAGCAAGATGGAAATTGCTATATGAAGAATGAACTAGGTAATATTCATTTTAACAGAAGCTAAAAACACATAATGAAGAATGGGTATGGAGTAGAAGCATGTCAAGAAGCAAGTCACTAAACATCAATTCATGTACATGTATCAAAATACTCTCTTTTCGCTTTCTGGCAGGATAATAGTTACGATAATACATACATCACTCCTGTTGGCTTGAGCCAGCGGTCACGAGCACATATAACTGAATCAAACATAGATTCACGCAGAAGAAAATAACCCATCCACTCAGAGATGATCACGTCAACTGCAAGTTATACAACAACATTTAAGGCAACCGTAAAGATATCCAACAAAGCAAAATCTAGACAGAGAGATGGAAATAAAAAAGAAAAAAAACCTTCGAACATAGGAAATATAGAAAGCCAGTAGTTCTAACCTTTCTCCGGCAAGGTAACATCCTCCATTGAGCCCTCGATGACTTCAACTATTCCTTCGAGATTATTTGCTTTGACAAGTGCACGGGCGTGTTCTGACATCTTGGTAGCTTCCACTGCATATACCTTCTTTGCACCTGCTTGTGCTGACCATATAGCAAGAATGCCACTTCCAGTTCCCACATCCAAAACAGTCTTCTCATTTGACTCACCAAGTCAGTCCAAAATCACTCCCACATATATAATATAAAGTACAAGCAACAAACCGAACGAACCCATTGAAATTATAATACAATAGCACATGTTAGAACCAAAGATTCTATCTTAATCCTTAATCCATTTCTATAGCTGTATAATCATGCATCATCATTGACATTAGAATTTTCTTTTTATTAATTCAGAAATTTCCAGCTCACAAAAAAAAAATTCATAAACGCGGACCCATTCCACAGTATTGAAGCTGGGTTAATGTTTATCTAATTTCACGGGTTTTTTTATTTTGTTAACCAAAATTACAAAATCAAATTCCATTTTTTTGGAATTTCTTATAACCAAACATGCGTAATATAGAAACTGACCTTTCCAATGAAGTGACGTTTGTTCTCAAAAATGGCATTAAAGTAAGAATCCATGCGAACCCGATCGGAGAGCATCTCCTTCTGATGGTAAAGGAAAGCATAGGTGCAGAAGTACTGTGCATAGTCAACGTCCTTGTGCACGGTGGCGCTTCGGTTTGAAGAGGTTCCCATGTTACACTCAGCTTCGCTTTGCACCCAACAACGGGTTCAATTTTTAGGGCAGGACTCGTTTGGCGGTAGGGTTGGCTTTGCTTCTCTACGGTTAGTTTATATTAGCGCTCATTTTTTTTATTTTTTATTTTTTTTTTGGTAAACCTATATTAGCGCTCTTTAACTCTCTTTTTTAATCCCAAAAATTTTAATAAGAGATGTTATATTTAGATTTTTCTTTTTTTCCTTATAATATCTTATCACTATTTTCATATCAACGATTATTAGATTTGATCAAATACAAATGGTTGGTTTTATTTTGATTTAATAATAATAAGATAGTTCTAAAAAAATTTGTTAAGTATAATTTCTTTAATAAATTTATATTTCATGAATTAGGTAAGTTATTACAACTTTTTTTCTTACAATCACATATTATCGGAATAAAATTAAATTAATGATTCTCATTTAATCATATTTTATAATAATTTATTAAATTTTGATTTAATAATAACAAAAAAATATTATAATAGTTTTTAAGATTAATCAAATTATTTGATTTTTTTTATTAGAAAAAATATTTACTCAAAAAATATTCTCAAAATGCTGAATCATTGAGATTTTCGCATCACACCAGAGAATCAACCGCTAATTAATGTATACATTATGAGAAGTTTCTAGCTTGCAATAAAGACAATAGAAAGTGGGTTTGCATGATTTTATTACTCTTTTTTCAAATAAGATAGTTATTTTATGTTGTAGAGAAAAAATAGGTGAGTCTCATTATTGTATAAAATAAAAAATAAAAAAGATGAGGTGCGAAAATTGGAATGAGATAAGATAAAAGAAGTTATCTTATGTGAAAGAAGAGCAATATTTTCCAATTTTAAAACAAAAAAAATAAAAAAAAGGCACTCAAATCAATAAATTTATGATATGAGGTTAAACTTCTAATTCTAATGTGAAAGGAGAAGTATAAAACCATATTATGAATATCTAAACAAATAAAGTTATTTTTACCCAAATCATTAATCAAATTTAAATATAATTGATCAGACCAAATACAATATGGGTTGGCCAATGTATATCGGGAATCACACACGGTTGATGTGGTGAGGATGCTCTGCTTCTTGGGCTTGATGTTGATGGTGACAGTATATGGACTTTGGTCCTTTGTTAGCGCAATCCTTGAGTCTAGATTGGGGGATACCTGCAATGACACTCCGATGCTTAAGTCAGTATCAGTTGCAGGTGTATGCCTATTCTTACAGAATTAGATGATCATACCTGGACATGTACCCTTTGTTTATATAGTAGTTGAGATGCCGCCTTGAGAAGGCGGTATAGCCTCTGATTGGCCGCTTATGGGCTGCAAGTTGCATTAATTGCTTTTATCTCTTACTGATAGGCTACTTTGATAGAGTAGCGGTGAGCTGGTGTTATCCTCTGTTTATTAGTTCAAAGGCGCGGTGGTTTCGTATTAGTTCTTTAAGATAGCTTCCTTATCTCTGAAGCTTTATGCCAAAGGGCGATTTTATGCGCGATGGGGGCATCGCGTCGCGTCATGCGCGATGGTGTCCATCGCGCTTAGTTCTGGGCCCTCGTGAGATTGGGCTTCGTTGTATGTCTTTGGGCCTCTGATGGGCTTACTATATTTTATCCAGATCAGTTGCCCCCTAGCTTGCAGTTTTGACATGTGGCAAAGCTGTGAGGTATATATATGTGTTTGTGCGCGATAGATTTTATGGACGCGTTCATGTGATGTCGCGATAATTACGGAGAGGAGTCATCGTGACTTATCCGCTTAAAAACAGTTGATTAGATGTTAACTGTCAGAAGCATTTAATGCAACCGCAATTACGTGGGTGTTTAATGGCAAGCGTGGGCTGTTTTGAAGTGCAAACGTTTTACCTTCCCCCACGTGTCCCTTTTAATCTGTTTTTCTCAACACGTTTTAACCTTTTGGGTATCCGTTTGGTAAAGCTTTCATATTTGTACTGAGCTTATTAGGTTTGGAGGGAAAATACTCAGTGTGACCGTAAGTGATCCTGCTTTCCTTAACATTCGTTTGTCTCTTTTGAGTTTCTGGTGTTGACACGTCCTGCTCGTAGTTGATTCATCTGAAGTATAAATCTCAAGTATGCTCTTCGTGCTATTTTACTACCTCATCTGTTTCATTGTTCTATTTTGAGCTTGTGATATGTCTGATAATCGCAAATTTATGAATTTTATCAGATTATCCGAGCGGTCTGGCTCGTCCAGTCCTCCCTCTAGGTCGTTGCCTAGGTCAAGGTCGTTGGGAACCAAGGAAGCGTGGCTTACTGACAAGTGTGTCGCTCCTTGTACGAAAGCTTTTGTAAATGATAGTCGTTTACCTTCTGTTCGACGGTTTGAATTTGGTTCGTCTTCGCGACAACCTAATCGCGAAAACGCAAAAACTCTTTCTCAACAAAGTTCATCTTTGTTCCCAAAGGTTTCCTTTAAAATGACTGGTCCCATTTCGATTTCGAGTGATTCTTCTTCGAGTTCTGAGTGTAGTTATAGGTCTTTTAATACAGTAAACCCCAGATCGTCCTCTTCAATTTCATCGTGCGATACTTCATCTCCATCGCGCGAGATTCTTGCGGTCAAAGGAGTCCAAGTCCCTTACCTTTAAATGTAATATACCCAGCAAGATATCCTTATAAGAAAAGGAATTTTGATAATTATAAATCTGCATTTGTTGTCTCTGCTTCCTCTGACTCATCTTCCTCTACTGATTCTTCTTCTTCTGAATCAGATTTCGTTTCACCTAAAATCAAGGAAATTATGGCAAGGCGCGGTGCTGGTGATAAGAAGAGGCAAAAGCTGAATCCTGACACAAAGAAAAAGGCACTACAGATTAATCCCGAAGAAGAATCCCCGGTCAAGCGTAATCTTCGGGATGAAGAATCTCTGAGTTGGGTAGCAGATACTGTAATGGATATCGCTTCCATATATTGCTCTCCGGAAGAATTGGCTAAGTAAAGGTTGCCATCCACATCACCCCTGACAAAGCTTTTGATGATTAGTGGGAAATAGATGTCGTCCCGTTAAACGAGCGTGTTTGTTCATCGCGCGCAGAAAGGTCATCTAGACTTTTCATTATGATGTATGCCTATTTTTTCCTGTCATTAGGAGTTCGTCTGCCCTTTTCTTCTTTTGTTTGTAAGTTATTGGCGCATCTTAACGTGGCACCCTCACAATTGACCCCGAATGCCTGGGGTTTTATCAGGGTATATGAAATGGTCTGCAAGGCCTACAACCTTTTTCAATCCCTAGAGTCATTTTTGTATATGTTTAGTGTGATGGGACCGCATTCGAGCTGGGTCTCTTTTAGAAGTAGAGTTAAACTTTATGAATCATACCAAAGGAAGATTATCAAATGGACCACAGAATTCTTCAAGATTTATCCTGCTGAAGATTCTAGCCCGTTTTTCTTAGGAGAAGATAACACCCCCATCTTTCCTCTACATTGAACTGAGCATCCGTTAGGGGGTCAAAATTTGAGCTATAATTTTGACGATTTAAGTGATCTGGAACAACAGACAGTGACCACTCTAAGTAACATTGCGCGTGAGGCTTCTGATACGGGCTACTTAAGCATGTATACAATTTTGAATGAATATAATGATGAAGATATTCAAGCCTTTTTGGGTAATTCGACTTTTATTTGTTGTGGTGTTTATCGAAAAGAATTTTATTTATTTTATCTCTTGATTGTATATTTCTAACACGAACATTTTGGATTGTTGCAGATAGTTCAATGGCGGCTTCTTTGAGTAGGTTGCAGAAGATAGCGACCATGCGAGGTGTTGCAGATGCCGATTCTTCTGTGCCTAATATGCCCTCCATGTCTGCTACCGCCACTGGTGTTGAATCTAGCGAGGGTGCTGTCGCGCGATTGAAGTCACCAGGTCCCCTATCTGCCACCACCCACGTCGTCCCTCCTGAAAATAAGGAGGTAGAAAGCTCCCCGAAGGGACAGAAAAGGAAGTTTGCTGAGGTTGACGTGGGATTTCCGGACCTCATTTATTTTGGGGAAGGCTGGGGTTTTGATAAGGATATGTATGCGAAGGGAAGGGAGATAGGTCCGCGCATTGAAGAGCTATCGAGGGAGAAATGGCCGGCGACTTCTGAAAAACTGAGTATTGCTAATTAGTTCATCATGTACGTGCCTGGTAAGTATTTATTTTTTGCGTTAAAATGTGGTATCAATCATTTTGATATAACATATTCTATGTAGCAGGGTCTGTTGACTATCTGAAGGAGCGCATTGTTGAACTAAAAGGTGAAATTGTCCATCAACGCATAGGTTTTGAAGGAAAACTGAAGAAAGCTGAAGAGGAGATGGCTAAGATAAAACAAGATTTGAAAGAATCGCAAGGCACTAATAAGAAGCTAAAGACGGAGAAGACTGATTTGACCAAGCGCGTCCTAGAATTGGAAGGAAATGCGGATTCTTGGGAGGAAGAGAAGGCGCAGCTGAACAAAGAAGTTAAGAAATTCCAAGATTTATTTGAGAAAGAAGCTAAAGGGACCTATACTAATATTATAAAGGAAGTCCGTCTCTTCAATCCTACGGCCAAGTTGGATAACGTTCACTATTTCAACTATGTCAAGGATGGCCAACTGATTAAATGACAAAGATGAAGAAGTTTTGGTGGACTTAGTTAGCACAATGGATACTGAGACCATCGCTCTATCCATTCCAGAGCCAACCCCGCAAGGGCCAGATGTTGTAGGTGGAAATGAAGCTGCCAATGAAGATCCCCAGGATATGTCTATCTAGACTATTTGAATTTATTTTATTTGATTCAGGATATTCAGGATCTGGTTTGTAAAGGGGTTGTTCCATATTTTATTAAACAATTTCTAACATGGTAGGTTTTTGATGATTTGACTACTAATATTGTGTAAGCCACGATGGCGTTTCCTTGTCTTTGAAATATATGAATTGTCTTGTTTGTTCATAAGGATGTTTTGTGACTACATACTATGTTTGTATCATTTCGTAGAAAGATTGTAGATCTTATCATACAATATATACCTTCC